TTCAGCATTACTGGTCAGGGCATAGACTTAGATTACCGTGATGTTGAATGGTTTGCCTTGGAAACGAACAGAGATCATTCTGTCATTTTTGAGGTTGCATCCAAGTACTGCATTTTGGACTCTTCTTGACTATGATGGCTACTCCATTTCTTCTAAGGGATTCCTGCCCATAGTAGTAGATATAATTGTCATCTGAGTTAAATTCACCCCTTCCAGTCCATTTTAGTTCGCTGATTCCTAGAACTTTTATTTATTTATTTATTTTCCTAGAACTTTTAATGAATACATAACATACCATTCATTGGCTATATATTTATATTTTTGGATTATTTCCTTAGACCAGAGGTTGGCAAACTATGCCAGTGTTATTCTCTATGAGTCCCTGGAAAACAAAGAATGCTATACTCTTGAGTGGCATCTCCTGTATCTAAATCCATCATTTTTAAGTACTTAAGGTAGGCGCTGGAGAAGGGAAAGGTTACCCACTCCAGTATTCTGGCCTGGAGAATTCCATGGACTGTATAGACCATGGGGTCGCAAAGAGTCAGACACCACTGAGCAACTTTCACTTTCAAGGTAGGTGCCCATCCAGGCGTCCTCAGGAGCTAAGGCCATCTAGGCAAAGACGCAGCCTCCATACCAGGGTGGGCAGCTCTGCATGGGCTCTGACTTGCAGGCTCCTCTGAGCCTGGCAGAGTGGTGCGCCATGCTGGAACCTCACCAGCCACCATGGGCAGGAAGCAGGGCTTCCAGCGTCTGGGTTCCGACTTCCTGTTGCCCAATCTCAGGGTCAGAAGGGCTCACTTCTATTTTCTTTTTTCTTCCAGAATACTGCCCAGGATACCATGTTACATTTGGTCATAATGCCTCCCAAGGCTGCTCTTGATTGTCACAGTTGGTCTATTTCATTTTAAGGATGCCCATTTCACCCATGTCCTCATCTGTTCTAGATTGCTTCCCTTTTTCCTACCCCTTTTTCCCCCTTGTATTTTTTTTCTCTACTTGTATTTTATACCTACTCTTTTTTTTTTTTTTTTGCATTTTATACCTACTCTTTGAACACATGATTTGTTTCATACTCACTGCTTTTAAAGGCATTATCTTCCTTTAAGATTTTTAAAAATCTTAAGAATGGCAGGATGTTCTCCAAAATGTCAAATGTTATAGCTAAAAAAGGTGGACGATTCTATGATAACAGTAGATAGCTAGCATTTTTAGGATTTTGCTAAATTCAGCTTCATTTCATTCTTCCATCCTCACTTCGGCAAATTATAGACAATGTGGTATGGCTTGGGGGAACTTGGAAAGGCAAGTTTTAGCTTTGAGGTTAACCAGACCAGGGTTTGAATCCCAGAGCCATTTGGATTGTGGCCAAGTTCATTTAACCTGATTTTCTAGTTCTTTTATCTGTAAAGCAGCTGTAGGGAATGCAAAACTTCACCTCTACTCTTATGTGGTCCCTGACTGGGCTCAACAATTAAGCTGACACAAAACAGATTAAAAAAAGTATTTCACTTTATTAATGATTTTACATATGGGATTCTTCACAGGAAAATGAAGACTCTAAAAGCAGTATATCATTTTTTATGGCTTAATTTTCTGTGCTGACCACTTATTCTAACATAGGTTGCTAATATGACACCTGATTATGACCAAAATATAGGGATAAATAATAATTGCCCGGGATAACTTGAAAATTAAGAAACTGGACAAATGATTTACATATTCCCCATGGACACCTCAATCATGAAAATGCCATGATAGCAAGACTTTTGTCCACTTCACTCATCTGGCAGCTAGAATCATGTCAATTATATAGAAAGAAGTTCAGTAAATATTTTGATAAGTATTAAGTGTGTGTGTGTGTGTGTGTGTGTGTGCAAGAGAGAGAGAGAGAATGGAGAATTAAAGATCAGAGGGGGAGGTAATGAGTTATTTAATAAATGCTGCTAGAAAAGATTGATAAAATTTATATAAAAATTGATAACTTCTATTCAAAGATTTCATGGAGAGAAAAGCCATAAATCTACAGAAAATGCATGTAACAGAAAATGACAAATTTTTGGTATCTATAACACAGAATTTCCATAAGTCATAATCAATAAAGCTCTGTCCACCTTGAAAGGCCTTCTTCTCAGGGCTCCCAGGACACAATCCTTTTCTGAGATTCTTTCTGTGTCGATGATGCACATTCCAAGTTTTCTTTGATTCTTACTACTCCTCTCTCCCTCTCCCTAACTGAGGACCTACTGTGTATCTCCTGACTGAGGACCTACTGTGTATCTCAAAGCTACATCTCTATATCTCTGAGTTCCTATATATATTGTCCAGGCACAAAAATCTAATCATAATGATTTTGTTACCACCCACACAGTGGTTAGGTTAGGATTTGAATCTCCAGAGTTATATATCCAAATTTCCCATTCAGTATCTCTGATTGGATATCTATCAGGTATTTTAAGTCAAACATGAAACTCCCTAACTCAACCCTGATGCCCTCCTGACCCCTGACCCCCTAAGTCCTTCCCATTTTACTAAAGCCAGATCCATTAGTCCAGTTGATGGGGTCAGAAATCTTGGCATCTGGGACTCCTCTCTTTTTCTTCTAGTCTAAACTCAATCTGTCAGAAAATCTACTTTGCTTTCTTCAAAATATACCCCAAATTCTTCAACTTCTGACCACTTTTACCTCTAAACTAGAAATATTTCCTGGTGTCTGGTTCTACCTCATCTTCCCATCCCATGGTCTATTTCCAATCCGAGCAGAGTAGTTCTTTTAAAATGTAAATTACACAATATCATGCCATGACTGAAACCTTGACAGTGGCTTTCAATATCTTACAGAGGAAAAGCCAGAGATTTTGCAAACTTCTAAAGGATTTGGCCCCTTGCTCCATTTCTTATGTGTTAACTCTTCCCCTCTCATTTACCTCCATCCCTTCTGCTTGGCTTGCTTTTCAGTAAATGAACCTAGCATGGTTGCAGTTTCAGCCTTTGCACTTGCTGTTTGCTGTGCCTAGAAATTTATATTTCCATATAAAAGCAAGAGTCTTTTTTCTTTTTTCCTTCTTTTTTGTTTTATTTGGTCATGCCCCATGGCTTGCAGGATCTCAGTTCCCTGCTGGGGGATTGAACCCGGGCCCGGCAGGGCAAGTGCTGAGTTCTAACCCCTAGACTGCCAGCGAATTCCCAAGACTTATTTTCCAAAAGTATTTTTTAAATTGAAATATAGTTGATTTACATTGTTGTGTTTCTGTTGTACAGCAAAGTTATACAGTTGTACATATGTGTGTGTATATATGTATAGCAGAATCATATAGCTATACAGCTGAATATGTTTATATATATATACTTTTTCATACTCCTCTACTATGGCTTATTATAGGTGACTGAATATAACCTATAATACTGAATATAATATAGTTCCCTGTACTCTACAGCAGGACCTTCTCATTTATTCATTTCTAGTAGTTTGCCTCTGCTAATTCCAAGCTCCCACCCACTTTACCATTTGGTAACTATAAGTTTGTTTTCAATCAGATAATTTTTCTCACCTTCCTCCCATTTTTCTCTAAATATATTTGTTGACAAAGCAGTGTCCAGAAGTAAGATTTAAATCTGTACCTGAGAAAACCATTAGAATTTGTGATTCAGAGCTTGAGGGTTAATGGAAGGTTCTGGGAAATGTTGTTCGAACTTGTGATCAGGTAAAATTTTAAAACACAGAGCATTTCTACCAGAGAGATGAAATTAAAAATTCAGGCTTAGACATTTAGGAACTGGTACTTGTTGATGAAATCACATTTTTTATTTTTTATTATTATTATTATTTTTTTTTTCCATTTATTTTTATTAGTTGGAGGCTAATTACTTTACATCATTACAGTAGTTTTTGCCATACATTGAAATGAATTAGCCAACATTTTTTATTTTTAATGCAAAAGTTTAATTGTTTTCAATTGCACTGGGTCTTCGATGTTGCCAGCAGGCTTTCCCTGGGTTTGGAGAGCAGGGCTACCCTAGCTGTGGTGCCGGGCTTCTTATTGCAGTGGCTTCTCTTTTTGCAGGGCACAGCTCCAGGCGCACAGACTTCAGTGGTTGCAGCATGCAGCTTCAGTAGTTGCGATGTACTGGCTCTAAGGTGGGCAGGCTTCAGTCCTTGTGGTGCCCGGGCTCAGTAGTTGCAACGGTCAGGCTCTAGAGTCCTGGCTCAGTAGTTGTGGCTCACTGGCTTAGTTGCTCCTTGGCGTGTGGAATCCTGCCAGACCAGCAATGGACCCTTTTCCCTTGCATTGGCAGGTGGGTTCTTATCCACTGCACCATCCAGAAAGTCCTCACATTCTTTCCCAATTCAGTTTCCTCATTTTGGACCTAGAGTGACAATCAAGTGAGGTAATATTAAAGATTTGTACATCAGTATCTGTAAATAATATATACAAATTCCATAAACAACCAGTGCCATTAAAAGTGTCCATGTTGTTTTTATCTTTATCTTCCTTCCCATCATATGAGCTTTTTCCAGACAACAGAGAGGAAAGACGAGCACCGAATGTATTCAACATCTAAGAAACAAAGACAAAATTATTTAGTCAATAAAAATCCAATGGCTGCCATTCTGTGTCTGGTAATATGATTACATGATAAATGGTGGCATGACTACAGGTGTATTTGTGTCGAGGGGACTGAAAAATAGGACAGAAAGTTGATGGGATATTCAACAACTGTGGGAACACAATGTGTCTCCAGTGGTCAATGTATTTTTCCCATTTTATGTTCTACATGTCAAACATCCTTACCTCTTCTGTTTTGTTTTATATGCCCTCCAGTGTATTTCTTTTTTGTATATCTTCCTCTTTTTACAAAACCATCGGTTTATCTGCCAAAAAAAAAAGAAAAAAAAAAGGGTTGGGAAGTGATTCATCCAGAAATAAGGATAATGGTTTATATGGGTAAGAGTTGTACACCAGGGACTTTGTCAGTAAACAAATATGTGGTCATACCTGAGTCTCTGTCATGCTAAATTCAAATGCAAGTGATGAAATATCCAGAAATGTGGGTTTTTCTTTAAATTTAAACATTGCCCAGAGAGTGTCCATGAGGGGTCTGCTGACAAATTTTTTCTTCTGGTATTGATTCTTATTTTTCTTTTCTTTCTCGTCCTCCTCCTTGTCCTGTTCCTTTTCCAACTTCTCTTCTACGACTTCTTCCTTTTCGCCTCCTCCTTCTCTCTTTCTCTTCTGTGTCTTCTTTTCAACTTCAAGGTGATTTTGTTCACAGGACATCACTGGTTGTTTCTGTGCACCAGAATCTGTGGAATAAAATCAAGTTGCAGCTAAACTGGACATTCAGATCATAGTATTCTTCAGTGTGAGAATATATTTGATTTTCATAAGATAGCTGTGTCAGACATTGTTGGAAAGCAGAGGAAAGGAAAAGTCAAGTTGTCTAAACCAGTGAAGATGTTCATGAACAGAATGGCCTGAAAAAATTTTTCTTTTGAATGTTAAGTAATGATAAATAAATACTTCCTAAGGAAAGGCTATTTATTGAAGTTGAAACATCTGTGTGTGATGTTAAGTACTCAAAAATAAGTGAACTTGTAATGAAATAAGCTATGACTGACCTTCCTTAAAGGACTATGCATGCTAAGTCACTTCAGTCGTGTCTGACTCTTTTTGACCCTATGGACCATAGCCCTCCAGGCTCCTCTGTCCATAGAATTCTCCAGGCAAGAATACTGGGGTAAAAAAAGAAAAAAAAAAGAATACCAGAGCGGGTTGCCATGCCCTTCTTCAGGGGATCTTCCTGACCCAGGGATTAAACCCACTTCTCTTAGTTCTCCTGCATTAGCAGGCAAGTTAAGGACTATACAGGCTTCCTATTTCTATTTCAGAAAATTTTGCTAAGTTTTAGAAATTTGTCCTTATACTTCACTTTTCCGAGGATCTTCCTGGCATATGTTCATGTCCTGGCATAATTACTAATATCACCACTTTTACCTTAAAGTACTCTGGTTTAAACCATATATTGTGTGATTCCATCACTTACACTATTTAAGAAACCAAATCAGTAATTTAAAAGTAGCCAAGACACATCAGAAGAGTTTAATTAGGAACATAATGAACAGCAATAGTTATTGAAACAGAGAAGAATGACTGTACAAATGGACAAGTTCACCACTGAAAAAGAAAGGGGGGCTAAAATTAGACCCTAGTAGATAATCAAAAATTGATGTATGATAATGGAGAATTTCTGATCAGTGGGGGGAAGCAATGAGATATTTAATCAGTGCTGCTAGATAAGACTTATCAAATTTATATAAAAATTGACAACTGCTATTCATCAAAGATTTCATGAATAAAGTGGAGAGAAATGCCATAAATTGGCAGAAAATATATGTAACAGAAAACTGACAAATTTTTGGTATCTAGAGCAAAGAGCTCCCATAAATCTATAAGGAAAAAAAGATCCAAGAGAGAAAACAAAAGCTGTGTGTGTGTGAGAGCTGGGAGTCAGAAGTAGATCTGAATGGCTAATATTTTGAAAAGAATAATCAAGATGAAGATAAGAATGAGCTGCCTTTTTATAGTTACTTGATAGACAGAAATGAAAAAATCAAATAATACCAAATGTGAGACAGCGGTAGGTTGACAAGAACTTGCAGGTATTTTTGTTAGAAGTGTGAGTTGATTAAACTCCTTTGGAAAACAATTTTGCACTGTCTTATAAAATTATAGATTCTCTTATCCTTGATTTAACCCTAGAGACTTACTTGCATATGTTGAAGAGGAGACACAAATAAAATTCTGGTAGCATTCATGATCTGAAACATCAGAAGGGGAAATAATTCAATGTGTGTCATCAGAATGACAGTATTTTGGCCACCTGATGGGAAGAGCCGACTCATTGGAAAAGACCCTGATGTTGGGAAAGATTGAGTGCAGGAGGAGAAGGGGGCAGGAGAGGATAAGATGGTTAGGTGGCATCACCAACTTGATGGACATGGGTTTGAACAAACTCTGAGAGATAGTGAAGGACAGGGAAGCCTGGTGTGTTGCAGTCCATGGGGGTCTCAAAGAGTCAGACACAACTTAATAACTGAACAGCATTATCAGAATGAAGTTAATGATTAAAGCTAATTTGAGAATTTGGTGAACTTTAGAATTATAATTCTGAGTAAAAAGAGCAAATCTCATATCCTCCAATTAAAAATAAACCAAAAAAGAACAATTCTCCAAAGTACATAGTGTTCAAAAACCAAATAATATTATTGAAGGGTACATATGTATGTGATAAAAAAATATAAAACTAAGCAAATGATAAAGGAGTTTCAGAAGATGGTTGGAAGAACACAGTAGGATAGAAGAGGCTTACAGAAAAGCCGATGAAATACATTAATAAAGTTATACCTAGATCAGTAATGTTATATGACATCTGTAATATATGTTGTACTTAGGACGGTCGAGTTATTCTATGACCTAGATGTATCCATGTGGCCTGAATTAAGAGGTCATTAGGAATGAGCTTCTGTGATTTGGTTATTGGTGCCACAACAATTAGACTTCCCAGGTGACACTAGTGGTAAAAACCCTATCTGCCAGTGCAGAAGACATAAGAGACTCCAGTTCAGTCCCTGGGGCAGGAAGATCCCCTGGAGGAGGAAATGGCAACCCACTCCAGTATTCTTGCCTGGACAATCTCACGGACAGAGGAACCTGGTGGGCTGCAGTCCATGGGGTCAGACATGACTGAAGTGACTTAGCACACAGGCACGCCACAACAATTAAGAATGGAGTGACAGATAAGAGGCAGTGCATTTGCTTATTTGATTTCCACTGAATTCGTACTTACTCCAGCTTTCTGATTTTGTGAAGTTGCCACTCATTTCCAGCCCTTGTTGACATAGGTCCATGATTGTCTTCCTTTGGGTCTTCTGTACTAGATGTTGTCCTTGACTTTCAGAGATCAAATACTCAGATTGACCTAAGAAAAATCCAGAGAAAGTTTGTTGTAGAAACACATTCAAAAGCTCTTATGGGGGCTTCCCTGGTGGTAAAGAATCTGCCTGCCACTGCAGGGGACATAGGTTCAATCCCTGATCCAGGAAGATCCCACATGCCTTGGAACAACAAAGCCCATGAGCCACAGCTATTGAGTCTGCGCTCCAGAGCCCAGGAGCCGCAGCTACTGAGCCCACATGCCACAATTAATGAAGCCCATATGTCCTAGAGCCTGTGCTCCGAAACAAGAAAAGTCACCGCAGTGAGAAGCCCACTCGCTGCGATGAAGTGTAGCCCTGCTTGCCACAACTAGAGAAAAATCTGGTACAGCAACCAAGACCCCGCACAGCCAAAAATAAGTTAAAAAAAATTTTTTTTTAAAAAAAAGCTCATATGGGACTTCCCTGCCAGTGGTTAAGAATCTGCCTGCCAATGGAAGGGACATGGGTTTGATTCCTGCTCTGAGAAGATTGCATATGCCGTGGGGGCAGCTAAGCCCGTGCACATCAACTACTGTACCCATGCTCTAGAGTCCAAAAGTCTCTATTCCTACCATGTGTTTATTTTCTTGTACAAGAAAACTGCTTTTAGAGAGTCCTATTTGTGTTTGCATGTCGGTGATATATTTCCTGCTCATTGTCTCTTGAATTGACTCCAGTCAGTCTTTTACAAACAACTCTATAGACATCTCTCTTGTCAAAGTCACCAATCAGTGATCTTAGCATTGCAAAAATCCAGTGATCAATTCCCAGCCCTCTCTTACTTGGAGTATTTGGAGCTCTGTCCATCTTGAAAGGCTTTTCTCTCAGGGCTCTCAGGACCCAATCCTCTCCTGAGATTCCATTTATGTCAGTGATGCTTCTTTTAAGTTTCTTTACTTCTTCCTTTTTCTCTCCTTGTCTTCCAGACCTCCTGCGACTCTCAAGTCTATGTCTCTAGAACTCTGAGTTCCTATATATACTGTCCAAGCCTGGAAATCTAACCATAATGACATCGTTACCACCCAGGCAGTGATTAGGTTAGGATTTGAATCTCCAGGCTTGTATATCCAAAGTTCCAGCTCTATATCTCTGCTTGGATGTCTCATTAGTCATAAGTTAAACTTAAAACTCCCAACCTCAACCTCAAAGTCCCACATTGACCCCTGACCCCTTCTCAGGCCTCCCTGTTTAAGTGAAGGCAGTTCCATTCATCCAGTTGATTGAGTCAAGAACCTCAGCTTCTGCAATTGCTGTCTTTTCTCTTGGGCCAAAAATCAATCTGTCAAAAAAAAAAAAAAAATTTCGGCTTGGTCCCTTGCTAGGTTTCTGACTTCTGTTAACCCTTTCCTGTATTGCCCTGGTGGTCTAGTGGTTAAGAATCTGCCTGCTAATGAAGACATGCGTTCACTCCCTGGTCCAGAGGATTTCCCTTGCCTCCAGGGAACTGCCCCCTGTGCGCCACAACTACTGAAGCCCAAGTGTTCTAGAGCCCGTGCTCCACAAGAGAAACCCCTGCAATGAAAAACCCACTCATTGCAACTGGAAAATAGCCCCTGATCGGCAAAACTAGAGAAAGCTAGCATGCAAAAAAGAAAGAACTGCAAGTTCTTGGAAAAAAAAAAAGCACTTTCCTGCACTCACTTTGCTCCATCCCTCAGATTGCCTTGCTTTTCAGTTAACAAGCCAGTGTGGCACCCAACTGAAGCCTCTGCACTTGCTGTTCATTCTGCCTATAAAGTTTTTTCTCCAGAGAAATGCAAGACTTGTTCTCTTACTCTCTTCTGATTTCTCTTCAAGTACTTTTATTGACAAGGCAGTGACCAGAAATGAGACCATAGTAGGCAGTGCATGGAGACGACAGTTAAGGATTTGGGATTAGAATATGAGGGTTAATAGACTCTTCTGGGAAGTGTGAACTTGGGCTGTATCACTCACTTTGCTCCATCCCTCAGATTGCCTTGCTTTTCAGTTAACAAGCCAGTGTGGCACCCAACTGAAGCCTCTGCACTTGCTGTTCATTCTGCCTATAAAGTTTTTTCTCCAGAGAAATGCAAGACTTGTTCTCTTACTTTCTTCTGATTTCTTTTCAAGTGCTTTTATTGACAAGGCAGTGACCAGAAATGAGACCATAGTAGGCAGTGCATGGAGACGACAGTTAAGGATTTGGGATTAGAATATGAGGGTTAATAGACTCTTCTGGGAAGTGTGAACTTGGGCTGTAATCAAGAAAAATTTAAATTAGAGAATTGATGAGAACTCTTCAAAAGTGGAGGCCAGCCAGGAACCTGAAGATGTTCCATT